GAACCAGAGACCCTCCTGGGGCAGTTCTGTGCCAGAACCAGAGATTCATTGGATTTTTTCAGTCTTCAGCTTCTGTTTTTTGTTATCTTGTCAAAATTTCAGCATGCTGTCTGCACCAGACTCTGTGTGCAGGAAAAACAGCACAAAAATGGCAACAACCTCGTGTTACAAGGCCTTGTAAGTCTGATCAAAAACTAAGCTACCCAATTAAGAAGGGATACCTAAATTATTTCCCTTTCTAACCCAATAACTGACCCCTGAAGACCCACAATGCGGATTTTTCTGCCCAATTACAAGATACCACCCAAACCCAAGAAGAAAAAGGATGAAGAAGAAAGAAGGGAACTCAAGACAACACCCTGTATCCTCCATCTTGTAGCCATCTATAACATACAAAAAATCCTAAAACCTGAATTTCTCACCCATGTGCCATACTCTCTACAATCTCTCCAGTCTATTTCACACTTTTGTGGTTTCTGGTTTATCTTGAGGCTTTGGAAGATTTCTCCATGAGTGAGGGTCAAAGTCAGAGCTGCCCTGGGGGTCAGGACACCCCAGAGCAGACAGGGGGATATTCCCAGTGCCCTGGGCTTCCACAAGCAAACATGGTTTTCTGAAATTAAGAATTTCATTCAGCATTTTGCTGTTTTCTTGAATTTTAAGAACACCATTCTGCATTTTGAGTTTTAAGACCTTCCTTATGCATTTTGAATTTGAAGAATGCCATGCTGCATTTTGCTGCTCTCCCATGAGAACTCATCTTGTGTCCTAAACTTTCATCTGGCTCCTGGAAAAATACTGATTTTGGCAACTCCAGTTACAGGAATAAACACCCACAGCTGGAGGCACTCTGCAGTTCAGTGAGCAGCACATTCTGCTGGGTCACCTCAGCCCCTTGGTGATGATCTAGCAAAGCTGGCACTGGGAATGAGACTGGGAGGGACTGGGAGCACACCCTACCTGTGCTTGGGGGATGCAGACCTCGATGGTGACCTGGAGTAACTCTGATCTCTGCTTCCACTTCGACTCCTGCTCTCTCTCCCTTTCTGGACACTGCCAGAGACAAGGAGCACTCAGTTATTTTATTTCAAGTACTGATGGGAGAAAAAAATCAGCTGTTTCCTTATAAAACCTTACCCATTTACTGGGCTGTTGGAGCTGGTTCTCTTGGCTCCCTCTGTTTTCCTTTTAGCATTCTTCATGGCCTGCACAGGCAGTGGTGAAGGTTTATTTCCTTTAACCTCTTTTGGAGACTCTGCAAGAAGAAGCTTTTGTTACCTCTTTGGAAAGTACCTGAAAGGACTTGAGGCTCTCCCTCAGCCCATGTCTGCACCAACCAGAGCTGCACAGCTGGGCTTTGCACATGTGTGCACACACAGCCACCCACAAGCAGATCTCAACAAGTTCACAGAAGGCAGAAATTCATCTGAAACGTTTCTGCCAGAGTATCGCAGCAACTGCAAGAAAAGGCAGAAATCCACCCTCCTTTCCTTGCCAATTATTCAGAATTGTTTGAAAGGTAAACTGGGAAAGAAGTTTGTCCAGGTGAATGTTGGCTTCTAAGTGAGACCTGCACCAGACTGGAAACTTTAACCAACAAATTCCTTGCCCAACATCCCAAAATGTTACCCCTGCCAGAGCACCTCTGCTTCAATATTGCTTTAGCACAACATGCCAGTGGCAAGGATTTGAGCTTCTTGCCAAATCCACATAAAAGCAAGTCCCTGGTCTATATGGGTTTAAACTAGTCTTAATTTCAGACTAATTTGATTTTTAGCTTTTATCTGATCTCAAGAAATCACAAAGTCACAGTGTTATTCAAACCCTGCCAGTTGAGTAGTGCTAGAAGCCATCTTAAAAAAAATCCCCAACAAACTCCAAACCACACTTGTAAATGCTTCCCAAAAGGGTAAATATACATGAAAGATATGAAAGAGTTATTAAAAATGAGTTATCCACTATTTACCATTTTTTGGGATAGGGGAAAATCCCGATGTGTTATCCAAACTTGGAACTCCCTCAGGTGCCAGACCTTTAGCTTGTGCTTTTGCCTCTTCAATAGCCAATTTCTTCTTTTCTATTTTACTTTCCAGATCAGATAAATCCACCTGTGAACATGGGAGCACTGCTTGTGAGAACTGACTTTCCTGGTTACCCACTCCCAGGGAGGGGAATGGAAATCCAAGGAGTCCCAGACAGTGACTGATCTTTGTTCACTTCCAGGCTTGCAGCTGTGGTTTTAAACAGCCTCAAAATTTCCAACTCCTGCTCTGAGCTGCAGCCTTCACTGAGGGCTCCCAACATGAAAAAGAACCAAACCTTTTTCCTTGTGTACAGCTGCAAGATTTTTAAGCAGATTTCTTGAATTTCTTCCTCAGTTGCTCCAAACAGTAAAAACCAATGTGGGCGATTTGGAAGTGGGATCTGAAAGGGGGAGAGAGAGACAAAGCTCAGATTTCTCCTCCTGGTAAAAAGGCTTGAAAAAACCCCAAATCCATGGCACTGTGGCTTACCTCCAGGGTCCTGGCTGCCAGGTAAATGCAGGCACAGGCAATGCTTTCTGGCTGGAACCTCACAAAGACATCTGTTCTCAGGCTGTCGTTCATGTAGTTCCTGAAAAACAGGAGAGCAGGAGGTTGCAAGGCACTGCAAAGCTCTTTTGGTGTTTTTTTTTTTTTTTTTTGGGTTTTGACTTGGTTTTACTTCTACAAGGGCTATTTCTTTCTGCATTCAATTACTAGACTTCAACACTATAGTCCTGTAAATCTAAAGAGAAGCTGAAGGATTTTACTAAAACAAAAATAACTAAAATAAATCCCTCAAGGGGAGGGACATGTGACAGAAACAACGTCTGACTGCTGAAAATACAGTGGTGAGGAGAGAACCAATTTTAACTTCACTTTTGCTGCTGGATCTCTACTGGCCTGCTCTCATGCAATAAACAAGTTATTTTCATCAAGACAACATACAGTGTGCTCAGAAATACTCAGTTATAGAATTTTAGGTTCACATGTTCCCCTGCAATTGGGCAGAACCAGGTGTCTGGAAAAAGCTGCAGCTCCTGGAGCAGTTCTCCCATGAAATGCAGTCCTCTTCAGCACAGGTCAACCTCCAGTGGCATTCAAGGGTCCATTTCCATCCAGAAGAGAATTCTTTTTGATGCAAAAAGTCAGCCATAGGAGAAATCAGGGTGTTTGGGAACATCAGTTCAGGAGAACAGTCAGTACTCAGGCAGATCTCCTCTTTGGCACATGAAATAAGGTTTCCAAATTGTCCCATTTCAGTAAGGTTGCTTAAAATGAATATTCACAGAATGAGAAAACTGTAAAATATTGCACATATTCCAGTCAGTACAATTAAGCATTATGCTGTTAAATCTTAAATACACAAAGTAAATTCCTGTGAATCTGTCAGCTGATGTGCTTTAGAAGATCTAGACTTGGGAGCACGTATGTCAAAGTATCAGATGGAGAAAAAACTAAAACCAGACATAATAAAAGTCTTTAAATTAATACTTCAAGGTAATAATTAACCATGTGGGTACCCAGTATACAAGGATTCACTGACCCCCAAGATATCCAAAGCAGAGACCACAGGCTAGGCACCTGCAATGTTTACAAGGACAGAGAGGAGGGATTGGAATCCCAGGAGTTTCCAACTCCCACCTGCCCCAGCTGTCCCCAATTCTTGGTTACACAAACAACAACTGCTGCCCCAAAAAAGCAACACATCAGCTCATATTTCTGGGAGAAAGGAACTTATAAACCTGCTCTTGTCTCCCTACAAAGAGAGCACAAAGGAGTGATAAAGGAAAGGGTGACTTGGAACATCTGGAAGCTGCAGAGCTTTTTTTTCTGATTTGCCAAATTGAGAACCATGCCAGCTTCCAAGTTTGGCCTCTGCACATCTTCCCTGTGGGCTCAGCCAGACACAGGAGGAAATGAATCCTTGTCACAATAGCTTAAGAAAAAGGTCATGTTGTAAAAATGCACATTTCAAAAACCAACTATACTGGATACCCACCAGTTTTCAGGTACTGGAAGCAACAAACACAAGCACACAGATGTGTTATTGTAACACCTGACCCCATTTTCAGGTGGGGTAATTCCCTCCCTCACCTCCCCTCTTTCCATAACCAGCAGATTCCTGGCAGTCCACAACTCCCATTCCACTGCTCCATGCAATGCTTCTGGCAAGTGTCTCTAAATATCACATTTCATGTCCAAGCTTCACACACGTACTATAGTTTTCTCATTTAAACATTTGAGATAATTGTATCTTTCAAACTATTCTATTTTTTTGTTGTTGTTAACTCATCCCTTTTAAAGATTTAAACCTCACCTTAATTCGCTTTATCATATAAGAAACACACCACATTATAACAGTTAAGAGAAATAGAACATGAAAAAAAAATCAAATTTCAGAACTTCAATGCTCAGGTTATCAAATATACAAACAATCAAAAAATGCAGAGTAAAAAAAAAATAAAAATATAAGCACAAGAAGCAGTTGGCCAGTTACTCTACTATCATGTATATACCACCTGTCTAGAGCCAGCCTTCTCTTTGGAGAGCTTTGGGTTGACTGAAGACGGCAGCTATCCCTGCACCATGGGCAGCAGAGGAGAAGTCTTAGTCACTTACCCTCAGAGGCTACCCTTTGATCAAAAGAGTACAGAAAAGAAAAGTCAAAACTGGTTCTCTACACACAGGTCACAGTACCAGACAGTTCAGTCAGCAGAAATATGGTCTTTGGATTCACTAAAGGTGGTTTGTTTCTTTTTTTTTTTTTAGACCATTGGTATTGTTAAAAAAGCATTATGGTTTATAAAGCATTATTTGGTAAAGTTTAAGATGGGGAATTTTACAGAAGCTTCCCACCCCCAAGCAAATATTTATTAAATGAGAGCAATAAGGCAGAGAACATTTCTTGACAAATATGAATCCAGGCTATCCATCTATCCAGTCTTAGAAGCTGACATCTTGCATTATCCACATAGCTAGAAGAAATTTATCTGTGCTGAGGTCTAGATACACCCAAAATCAAACTCAGGCCCTGGGAAAAACCATTTCCCAGCACTGGGAACAGACTTGAATTACACCCAAGTTTTCCCTGAAGAAAACCCCATGGGAACAACTCTAAACCCACCCAAGCTTTTCCCTTCAGCTGGAAAGTGAGAGCAGAGAGGAGGGAAGTGAGAAGTCAGGGTGGAAAGCTACCTTACCATTAAAACACTGCCTCGAACTTAAGAGGCCGCTCAACATTTGGGAAGTAGTTTGGGGCACACCAAGGACAGTGGAGCTGTCTGGGGTGGCCCCAAGCACTGCTGAGCAATGCTGCCCAGTGCCTCAAGTGACATATTTCTGCTACTGCCCCTTCTGGTCTCTTAGAACAAAGAAAATCAACTTACCATGAGGTCTGGACCAGGTGTTGGTTACGTTCACATTCTAATACCTGAAGGTACATAACGATTATCTGGAAGATATGGGTTATTGAGTTATTAACAAGCATCTGGAGAGCCACCTGCTCATTTCAGAGGGACATCCATGAGGCATCTGTGATCCTCTCTCAAGGCTTAAAACACTCCTCATGAAGTGTTTGCACAATACCCAGTGTTTATCCACACCAGCTCTGACCTTCTCAGCCCTTCTGTCCTGATACTCAGCCAGGCCTTGTCTCCACCTGGATTTGATTGAGGGATTTTGTGGAATGCTTTTGGGATTTTTGTGGATTGATTCTGGTCTCCTACAAACCTCACAAATCCTTTTTTAGCTGCAGCCTGGAGAGGAAAAGCTGCTGACTGCAATCAGCAGTGAGGGAAGCTGGCAGTGCTTGCAGAGAACAGACCTAACGCTGTGCACACTGTGCCATGGTTTGTTCTGGTCTGAGGGGTTTTCCT